TCGAGCTATGACATTTCCCGAGTCATTGGTGTAATTAGTTCATACTTAGGATTAGGTTTTAGGGTTTGCTTATCACTGGGTTTGCAACATACCTTGTTGTCATAACAACCCGCGAAATGGAAAACGTGCGCGAAGCAAAACGCGCTAAACCGGGACCTAAGCCTAGTGCTGTGTTGGATTATTTCGAAGAAGTCGGTGACTATAGCTCTAGCTCCAAGCGCTATGCTCGCAAGTGCAAGTTCTGCTTGACAACCTTCCCCGCTCACAGAGCCAAAGTGGAATCCCTCATTGCGCACGTAGCATCCCAATGCAAGTGCATCCCTCCGGCCGTCTGTGCCGACTTCTGCTCACGGCACGCGGCAGAGGTAGCGGCCAAAACTGCGGAGGCTGCGTGCGACTCCATCCCGGCGGAACAGCTCTCAACAAGCAGCACAGCAGCTGCCAGCAGTCAGGGGGGAACTGCCTCGGCCACGCGAGGAACCTCACGAGCGACTGGCAAGGGCCAGCTTTCGATCCACAAGTTCATCGATGCACCGATGCCCAAGGCAACGGAACTGCTGATCGATAAGAAGTTAACTCGGGGAATGACTTGGTCATGCGTCTGTATTTTTTTCGGTCGTCTATATCCTGAAGACCCGTCTATTAGACGAGTCGTCTACAATAGTTCGTCTAAAGTCGAGTCGTCTATACATGTCGTCTATAGTCGATTCATCTATTGTAGACGAAGAATAGACGATGGGTAGACGGTGAGAGGAGTTCAATATGCTGGAGAGTGTCTGCTTGGGTTAAACCATGCCGCTGAGCTGATGTCTGTTCTGCATCAATGTTGGCAAGGTTCTGGCAGGCTAACACTGCCTGGCATGTAACGATTATCACCATACTTACAAAACCCCAGCACATGCTGTGGGGACCAGGCAGTGCCCAGCCTCTCCCACTTCCTTACCACAAAACTGTAGCAGTTTGAGATAATTGGGCAGACTTCAGTGAAGCCCACCCCTCATCGACAAGCCCACAACAAAGGCTCGTCATGGTCCTTTATAACTGCAATGTCTGGCAACTTCCCAGCACAGGCCGGCTGGTTTTGAAAACTCTCACCAGCACAGGCTGTGATGAACAGCCATTCCAACCAGTGATTTTTTTTTCATTTAGGGGGGGTCTCAATTTATTCCAACCTAAGTAACAAAGTTGCTAGCGTCGCCGTAATGTATTCCTTAAGAGTGGGGCGCTAGGGGGGGCTACACCCCCCCCAGACTCCCCCCCCCCCGATAAGTTACAACTCCCCTCATAGACCAAGAGGCACGCACTGAGTTGGCGCGTTTTCGTTCATGTGCGCACTCTTCATGCACATGCATAGATAGTTCTGGCACTGTTTGTGAACAAAAAGTAAATCCGACCAAGCAAAGGCCCAAAACAAGCAACCGCATAGCAAATCAATGTGCTGTGTCTGAGCCCGCTTGGCACTGCGAGCGCTCGGGTTGGGCGCCTCGCCGCATTCATTGTTGTCGAGCTGATTGGGTGACAGCTTGCGCTTATGCTGATCACAACCGCCATGGAAGGCAGGGGTAATGGCGCCCGTGTCATCGGTCGCCGCTGGCAGCAACACCATTGCCGATGCATTACCGACAACAGCACCGCCATCCCAAACGCCTTTATCAGGAAAACTTTCAGGCTTATCTTGCTGTTTTGGTGTTTGTTCGGCGTTCAAGTCGTTGCCTT